TATTTAACGATTTTATGGTTAAGGGTAGGTTAAAAAAAGGAAAATGGAAAATTAACAATAAATTTAAAGGTAAGCTATCACAAAGTAAACAGTATATACTGTCGTAAGGAAGCCTTAGGCATAAATATCAAATGCCTAAGGCATCGGAAAAGCGGTCCCCCTGCCTGGAAGCGTATGACGCTTCCAGGCGTTAAAAGGGAAGCTTAATAAGCAAGGAGGACAGGGAGTTACGTATATATAAAGGGCAAAGGCCCCTACGGGGACCTGCACTACAAATCCTTTCCTCCTTAAAACATATTAACCGGAATAGCCTTATACCGTGCTTATCCCTTTTGCTTGCAACAATTATAAGCCCGGCAACTTTTAAACCTTTTAACGTAAAGTAAAAGGCTTAGCAATACGGATTTATTCCCTTTTCATTACCTTTATTAAATCGTTCTTAAACGCGCTTTTCCAAGCGCGTTTATCCTTTTTTTCCTTTCCGCAATTTTTTTACGGAAAAATTCCTACGTTTCCAAAACCTCCTTCGACAAAGTTTTTTTTACCGAAGCAAATTTTGTTATTAATCCCGAACGTTGCCAAAAACCTTTGTTAAATTCCATTTTTTTAATTTTTACGTTTTTACGCTTTTAAAGCTTTTAACCTTTTATCCTTTACCGCTTTACTTTTATAAGCTTCCGGTTGCTACCAATTATGGGTGGTACGGATAACGACCTTTTTGTAATAGCGCTATTTAAAAATTAAAAACAATGGCTTACGTAATTTACGGCGCTTTGTTAAAACGCATTAATTTTAAGGATTTGGAATTAAATTAACCTTAATTTAAAGTTCCCGAACGACGTACAGGCCGACGAAACCCTAAATTTCGATTCCTTTGCAGCAAAAGCCCGGGCCAAGCACGTTAAAAACCATAAATTTAAGCGCTTGGCTTAGCAAACGATTTTTTCGACCGAAAAGAAAAAAGCTTGTTTAAAGGCTTGGCAAAACAAAAGCGAAGCCACGCGAAGATTTAATCCCGAACCCTTTTAAGCCCTTTCGGTTTTTACCGAAAGTAATTTTAAAGCTAAGCATAAAAAAGCGCTTAAAGCAAAAAATACCGCGAGCAAAACCGCTTCGAAAAAAATTACAACCCTTTCCAAATGGATTAACTTTTTCGTAAACCTTGTCGCGTTTGCAAACGCGCAATTAAAAGCTTAAACCAACAATTACGTTACTTTTTGTAGCACCATTATTTGTTTAAAAGCGCTTTACGTTCCCATTTCCATAATGGAAATTTAAATAATTTTTTAAAAGTACCGCAATACGGTTAAAAAGGCCGTTAGCATTACAAATGTTAACCAGTAATTCCCAAAATTCCAAGCGATTTTTATTTAAACCAAAATTAAAACGTTTTTAAAATATAGGGCTTTACGCTTATACTTAATTTTTTTAAGCATATAAAGCGCTTCGACCCTTTTTGGGCAAAGCGCTACCGTTAAAAAATAGTTACGGGCGACTTTACGGGAAAAATGGATACTTTGGTTACCAAGTTTTTAACGATTTTTTTTTAGCACCGCATTAATAATTCGGGCACCAAAAAAAAGCTCGCGTTTCCGATTTTCGGGGGCGCATTTAAAAATAAAAACAAAAAAGCTAAAAGCATTTAACGAAATAATGCGATAACGTACGAATGCCCGGCTTGCATTTAAAACCATTTTTAAAAACCGGAAAATTGTTAAAAGCTCGTTTACGTGCTTACCGGCGATTTCGAACGTTTTCGCAACAAACCAAGCAACGAAAAATGCAAAAAAATTAAAAAGTCCCTGGAAAAAAACCGTTGGAAATTATTTAAAAAAAAAATTTTTCCAAAAGCAAATTTAAAAATTCCGTTTAAAAAAAGCAAGCCGAAAGCGCGTTAAGCTCCGGTTCCCGAGCTTTAAAAAAAATGGGATTTAAACGCGGCCGTACTTAAAATGCTTTTGCTTTAAAGCGTTTTTTCGGCTTTCGATATTATAAAAAATATTTATTTTAATAGCACGCTATTCGATAATTGCGGTTCGCTTTACATTATTAACGATAAAAAGCGCTTTAACGAAAGGTTATTCCAATCGTTAAACGGTACCGAAACGGTTTAATACGGCACTTAATACCTTCCGATCTTGGAACGTGGCATTTGTACGCTTTTTGGCTTTTTAAACGGAAGCGGAAACTTTAAGCTTTATAACGTCGTTTTAGTAAAAGGCTTTTATATTAATATTATTTCGGAAACCCGTTTAAACGCTAAAAGGGTATGGTTTTGCGGGAAAAACGCGATTTTGCGCATTGGGGAAATTACTAACGGGAAAGTAATTAAACGCTTTTAGCGCAAAAATAACATAATATTTTATAAATACAAACTTGTTGCTATTTACTTTATATTAATTACGTTGCAATCTTTCCCAAAAAATACGGTTTTAGCTTTTGCAATTAAAAAATTTTTACGCTGCAAGCGTATTACGCATACGTAACGTCCATTTTCGGATTTTACAAAACCGCAAAAAAATACCGCCGACTTTTGGCATTTGCGCAATGGTTATTTGGAATTACAAACGCTAAAAGCTTTCGTTTGGAACGCCCGGAACGTTAAAATTAAAGGACCCAAACGGATTAAATGCGAAACATGCGCAACAATTTATGCTATAACCGTCGTTTTTAAACGCTTTATAAAAAGGGCTATGCGCCTTTTTTAAAAAGTTTGGTTTAATTTATTTAATTACCCTAAATCGAAATTAAGGATAAATTGGGTTTTGCTGTTAATAAACAAATATAGCGGCAAAATTTAAAGCTTTACATTTCCAAATAAAAAGGGATCGACGGTTATTAAAATCTTAAAAAAATGGGAAGCGTAAGTAAAAAAACAATACGAATTGTTTATTATTACCTTTAAATACGACCAAAAAAAGTTCATTATATTTGTAAAAAGGTTTTCGAAGTACGAAAAATGGGCTTAAATTAAAAGCATCGTTATTAAAACCTTACCGTTATACATTTACAAACCTAACGGGATAATCGAACGCACGGGACAAAACGTTATTACGAAAGGAATATGCATGCGCAAAAGCGTAAAATTTTTTAAACATTTATAGCCGGAAACGGTTTACGTTACCGTTTGGTTAAAAAATATAAATTTTTTACCGTCGAAAAGCATGCGCGTTTTTAACGATATCCTTTTAAATTGGTTTCGGGGGTAGTTTCGGCATTACGCCCCGGAATTTTTTACGGGTTTAACAACCAATTTAAAACCGGATTGGGACGGCATTTACGCTTACGGGTGCAAAATTTATCTTTTAAACGTAAAAAGGTCCCATAACGCGGATTTTAAGCATTTTAAAATTAATTTTCGTACCGGGGTTAAATATTTGGTAAGCTATTAAATTTTTAACATTTACCGGATTTGGGTCCCGTTAAAAAAAAAAATAATAATTACAAAAACGTTAAATTTAAT